AGAAAAACCTCCAATAGTATTTAAGTTTTATGAGCAATAGCAACAGTTTAAGCAAAGGAGAAGGTGACAGACTGAAAAGAAAGATGGAAAGTAATTATGCCATCTGGATGGAAGACAGAAAAAATCATTAAAAATGAGTGCCTAGGCTTGAAAAAGGAAAGTCATAGTGCTTACGGCACATAGACATTTTAGAGCATTACAATAATCATCATAACAACATCTAAGAGTAATATGCACCTATTTCTGCTTCTTTTTCCCTATGATTTTTATAATATATTTATAGCAATGGAAAGATATTTTAAATAGGCTGCAAAAACAGATAATGTATGGTTTAAGTTTAGTTAGGGAATCTTTAGTGTGTTCATAAATTGAGCTTTTGTTTCAAATCAAAGTGTGATTACAGCTGTCAAGTAACATGTTCAGTAACAGCCATTGCTATTTAAGGGGAATGGTGCAGTCAGCTAGTTTACTTTCAAAATGCTGGCTCAGGTCATAAGTAAAAACTAATCAGATGGTCTTATCCTATTCTTCATTAGCCCACTTCAGAAAAAATTCACAATTTGCTTCAGTTGGCATTCTCTGCTGACAAGTAGCATTGTAGGTCAGGTTTTAATGGTGTAAGACAGTTAGCATAACAATTGTCCATTCTTTACCTGGCTCAAGCCTGTGCTTTCAGAAACTCATTTTATGAGCCCAAATGTACTGTACAAATATTTCAGTTAAAAAAATCATAGCAATCAAATTCAGCTTTGTGCTTACACAAGAAGTAATCCTTGATTGGGCTGTATGTATCCAAACTTGTTTTCTTTTGTTGGATTTTAGTTTGAGGGTTAGATTTAAAGTGATTTTTTCCCAGACTTTCTTTTGCAACTTTCAGTCACAAATAGAAGTTCTACATACTTCTGAGCATGTTTCAGTTGCAGGTAAAACGTTTAACATCTTTTGAGGTTGCAAATTAGAGATCATTATACTTTCACTTGACTTGGTTCACTGTGTCCTGGCAAGGGGAATATGGCTTGCATCCACATGTCTGATTTAGGAGCTTAGAGTTTAATGGATCTACCAATAGTGATCAATTAGGTCTAATGATCAAGAGGCAGGTGAAGCTAATTCATCAACATTAGTCTGCATTTGTGCTACACGCGCATGTGATCTTTTTGTTGATTCAATTACTTATTTAGATTTAAAAGATGAACTTTGTGTACTCATTCTCTATTTCACAATAACATAGTTGTTTTACTTAATCTATAAAGAAACTGCCTGATTTATTAAAGTGGAAGTTTAAGGTTGCAGTCCTCCATCAACTCTGAAACTCAGAAAATGCATTTCTATATGACCTCAATTCAGTCTCACACCAATAGTTAACAAACAGCACTCCTTAGATTTTTAGGGGGGGTTGGAAGGCTAAAAAGAAAAAGGCCCCCAAAGAAGCTACATTTAATGTGTTTAATCAATCTTTGACAAAGTTCTCATCTACCATGGCTATCATGATGTACAGTATAGAATAAGGTTGTCTACCCCCATCTAGTGGGCAAAATATTAAATGAAATGGTGAAACACAGTAGTGTGCTACATTGTGAAAAGCAATGCAAATATATTTTTCCCCTATTAGAAGTAAATAATTAGTACAGTTAACATCGAGTTTTCTTGGGGTTTCTTAACAGCAAGATTTTAAGGGCACCTCTCAATGATCCTTTGCTTTATGGAGCATTTTATATATTGTCTGAGCATTCTGGAACACAGTGATTGAAAAACGTCTAGCTTTCTCTGGAGAATTATCATAGATCTGTAGTCAGTAAACTTCTATAAATATTTTAGACAAGTTGTTACACAAAAAGGGGGGTGGTTGAGGTAATGAAAGAACTCTGTATGACTGCAATAGCTTTAGATAATAAATAACAGTACTACTACTACTAATTCATTATCTGTATCTAACAGTAAAATTACTACTAGAATCTCAGATTACAAAATCCTTACCTGATCTGAGTTATACTATCTAATCTGAAATAAACATATGAATTTATTTTCCTCCACATTGCAGTTTGCAGCATCGCATCATATTATGCTAATTATTTAGCTGTTTTGAACTGGGGAAGTGAAGTGGTGAGGAAATTTCAATTGGTTCATTGGAAAGAGCTGCACTAACACAGAGTTAGGCCTCAATTCTGCAATGCATTTCACTGACCCACAGAAATCTCTACTCACTTCCATAGGCTCAGCCCCCATTAAGCTTACCATAGGCTGGAAGCCTTAGCTTTCTGTGAAGTAATTTTGTCACTTCAGCTATCACTTCTAGCTGGCACCTGGAAATGCAGATGGCACTAAGCATAAAAAAATGCTAAAAAATATGTTTCCCAACTTAACAAAAGGTTTGGTATAAAGGTGAAGTGATTTCATGTCTCAGTTTTAGTGGGACAGTCCCAGGTTCTCAGGATGTTCCAATGTCACAGAACTTTATTTCAGGACACTTGATATGTCCTAGCTTTTCTTTTGTTTGTTTGTTTGTTTTTTCATTTAATCAGTCAAAACATTTTTTCAATAACTACAACATATTTTTTCAAGAAATTTCTATACCAAAACAGAATTTGCTTTGTGTAATAGGAACAAGTAGTCCAATGGAATGAGTGTTCTGCATGATGAATAGTGTTGATGTGGACACAGTGCCAAACTGAGGACAGGCACATGCATGGAATTAAGTGGCAGGCTGCAACTTTTATTAAATTTTAGCACAGGGGAGGTGTGCTACCTGCCCATCAACTCTCCTATAGCAAGTATTTTGTTGGTTCCAGTGCAGCGATTACAGGGGTTCTTACCATACAATCCATAGCTTGGGAAAGGATCTTCTCAGCCTACCCCCCAGGATGCAGTCCTAGCATCTTCCCCACCCTGAGGGGGACAGAGAGTGCAGAGGGGTGGGAACCTTGTCCTGAGAGGGCCACAAGGTCTGACTGTGAACCACAAAGGTCACAAAGTCTCACCCTATCTCATGAGCTCAATGTCCATCTCCAAATCCCAGGTATTTTATCTCTAAGAACTGTTCATTTTATCCTTTTAACCACACTTGAAACTGACTGCAAGTTGTGACGAATTAACCACTCAACCCAAGTACCTCAGTTAGGAACTAAGTGTGTTCCTAATTACCCCCACTGTTTCTTGAAAGTGCTGCAAGAAAGGCAAAAATCTCCCTGGTCCTCCCGGCCTGACCCCCAAACGGGTAATCGCCTACATCCACAGTATCTGTCAGGCTAGTTTCCCATGTCTAGTTTGGGGGTGGGGAGGGTGGGAGTGCTGGAATGGAGCCGAAAGAGGCTTCAAATGGTCCTCACTCCAGTTTAAATCCTAGGTGCCGGGGAATGCAGGCTAATGAACACCTGTGCCCCCTAGGTGGCAGACCCCATCATGTTTTTCCCCGCCCCCCACATTGAGACCAGTAGGGGATGTTTGGGAGTGAATTACACTTATTCGGTATGTCTTGATAAACTCATTCACAGCACAAAGTTAACAGAAAAAATGCTACAATGAGTAATATGCATGCTGTTGTTAAGTCAGAAGTTGGCAGAAGCAACATTAGGATATATTTATATTTTCAATTTACTTTTTCTTATACATGTGTATTTCTTGACCCCAAAAATGTCACTACAAAAGTGTTCCAGTTTCTGATTTTGAAAACATAGCTATCTTATGTGAAGGATGATTGAATTTCCAGGGTTGGTTCTTATCTGGAGTAGTTTATGTATCTTTGGTATAGACCTGTGGAGATTTTGTGACTTTCTATTTATAATCCAAAGGGAAAGAATAAATGCTACTGACTCTTCAGTTGTAAAAATGGGAGGTATCTTCATTAAGTTGATAGTGTGTATATCCTGAGAAATACGAACTAGATAGAGTTAATCAGTGGAAGGACAGGAGAATACTCAAGGCAAATTTTTAGTAAAAAATCCTTTTGTTTTATTTTTTTAAACCAATAGCTAATTATGATATAAACAGGGGGTATGACCTATTTTACAAATAATTTAGCAGTTAGGGTTTAATATACAAACCATCAGTAAACACATGTTATAAATAGCTCATTAAATGTAATGGTGACTGCTATAAAACAATAGTAAAGGTTTTGGATTTTCAAACAGAAATGTAACAAACATGTAAAATAAAAGTTGTGTCTGAAAAAATAGCAGCATGTTCAAAAACTCCTTAGGAACATATTGGAACCAAACAAAATACCCTGTAATATTGTATCAAAGTTATTAGAATCAGTAGAAATGTGGCGCGTTAAATGTACTTGTCTTAAATATGGTATTTTTTAAAATGATGAGTCATTGATAGGTTGTTCTGTCCCTTTTTAATTTTTTTTCTCTTTTTACTTCAACTACGTGTATTCAAACAATTCAGTAGCACAGCAATGCAGTCTTTAAGATATCTGCAATTAAGAAAGGGAGCTTTTGTTTAAAAAAAACAATAATATAGACAGTGAAAATCTTTGAGCACTCTAATTGCTTTTTGACCTAACAGTTATTCTTGGAGAGAGTAGGAAATAATTACAAAAGCGCATTTAATACAAAGATATAATGTCATGAAGTCAAAGGCAATGGGAGTCTGCTTGAGTGGGGCTAAATAGTACGTAACACTAAATAAGGACCTCAGGATTTGACCCATCAGTAGGTAACCAATGCATTATTGAATTTCACTTGCTGAATGTTCTATTTCATTACAGGTTTGTTAATTTCTATATGAAACAACAGAAATAATATAAATTTTGATGCTTACAATTTATCTAACACTTTACAAGTTCAAGGTGCTGTACAAAAGAAACAAAACAAAACAAAAACAAACTAGTAATCCCACCACATCACTAGAGATAAGTAAGTGAGTATTTTACAGATGGGTAAAGTGAAGCAAAGATGATAAGTGATTCCCCAGAGCCATGCAACAACTCAGTGACAAAACTGGGATTAAAAAATACAGCTGGTCTTGACTTCCAATTCATGTTTTTTTTCTTCTAGACCACCAGGCCTCTAAAATGATGTCAATATGTTTGGAAAAGATACTTTCCACTTCCCTCCTCTCTAGTAGAAGGAAAGGGTGAAACATTGCAAATGTGGAAAGAAAAGTAAGTATATCATGAAAGACAATGATGTCACACATTTAGAAATTGTTACTCTTTCTGCTTCAACTGTATTAGCATGCTCTAATGGCTGCTCTGCACAATTAAACAATATATTGAGGCAAAACGGGGTCTATATACACATGAAATGGAAACACAACTTGTCAGGTTATCCAGAATAGCACAGCATTGCCACTGGTAACATCATTTCCATTTTCACCAAGCATTCTCAAAACTACGATACCCACACAAGGAAATAA